TTAATATATATTTAAATAGGCAACGATTCATTATCAGTTGATAGAGCCTGGACTGTTATTATACGTAAATCGCTTCAGTGATTACTTAATTGATTATGATCCAGGAGAGAGAACTGACAACTGGCACCGCAGAACCGGTATACCCTGCGATTTGAGGAGCTTCTATGGCAGCCCTACAATTAGGCTTCCTGTCCCAATACAAACACGTATATAAATGTGTGTATAAATGTGAATATAATCGTGGGTGTTCGTGTGTGGCCTGTTTGTGTTTTTGAAGTGAAAGGAAAGTCCTTTTATGCGAACAATTTCTTTTTTTGTTTCGCTTGAAATGATTATATACGAGGAGAGCCCACATACGAGTATGCATGACAGTTTACATAATTAACTGACAATGGGTTTATGTACACAAACAAACAAACAAACAAACAAGCAGACATGCATACAGATGTATTTATGTACATATGTACGGGTGTGTATATGCATTTTAAACATACATAACCTTTCCCCTGTCACTGCCCCTGCTACTGGCTACTGGGTTTCTGGCTTCAGGACTCTGTTCCCAGCCAATTCTCAAAGGACTTAAGTTAATTATCACATTTTTTACACACAATTTTACTTTACATTGATGTCGTGCACAACAAGAACGGTGTGTGGGGGAAGGTAGGGTGGAAAGTAGACAGCCTCTGGCGAGGAACAGGGACAGGGGCTGGGTCAGGGTACAGCAGGAGTAGCGGGTGTAGGCCAAGCATTAAAGCGTAATTATGTGTATAATTTTCTGTAATTTGCTGTGAAAAGCTTCGCGGTAACGCATGAGATGAACGCATTTAATGAGACCAGCGCCTCCCACCCCATCACACACTGACCCCATCACGCAAGCTATCAATCCAAACGAAAAAGTTAAATAAACTCATTAATATGCGATAATAAGGCCAGACATTAAATGATGGGTAGATGGGTGTCACAGGACCCCCACTCTGAAGACGAGTCGGATGTGCAAAACAACATAAAAGGTTTCCCTTTTATTGAAATCGACAGTCCAGATATTGCCTTAACTTTGATATTGCCTGGGTAGATCCTCATTTTGCGCGGGACCCTCATCATCATCATCCGCATCACTGATGATATTTCCATCCTCATCGCCGAAAAGTCTTCGCTCAGCGATTTCCATCTGGGTCTGGAGAATAGCTGCTATCGTGTAGGTCCTGGATATATATTCCGTTTCCCTTGACTGACTTTAGGAGTTTAGACGTAATGGATTTTCAATAGCTCACTCGATGAAATGGAACAAGCTCTGTGCGAGCTCTCTCTGTCAATGATGACTGCAAAATGCTCCAATTAATAATCAAAACTTCTATCACTTGATAATCTTATTGAACCTTATATATATTATTCTACAAAAGATGCCTGCCAAGTACTCAAAATATCCTGCACGAATGATTTTGGGCAGCGATGTAGCCAATCCATTCTGCCCTCTTCCACGCGAAGCTTTCATTGCCTTCACTTTTCATATCATGTCCCTTCGCAACGGCCATTTCCGCTATGGCAACCTTTTCTCCAGCTCCTCAGCCAGTGGAAATCTTTTTCCTTTATGCCAATTGGCAGGTCACACCAATTGAACTTTAATCGCTGCTGACTTTTGTCATTGCTTTATCGTTTAGGCGACAACACAGAGGGACTCCTTTCCCCTCCCCAGACACACAGATGACTCTCAGGCGCTTGAACGTGGCCAAAAATAGGAAAAAAAGAAAACGCGGTTCAGACCTAATCCCTGAGCGCCACTGGGGTCCGGTCTGGTTCTGGCCCTAGTCGGGTTCGGGTTCGGGTTCGGCGCTCTTTGTCTCATTGAATAGACGCCGGCCACGCCCCCTTTGGGTCCGCTAGTCCCCGATCTGTGTGTGTGTGTGTGTGTGTTTAACTACGCGTGTTCGAATTTGTATGTTCGTCAGTTAGAAATTTTCGGCCATTTCAGCGAAAATTTAAAAAAGAAAATCCACAGACAGTGTCCATTGAAGAGAGAGAGAGAGAGAGAGAGGGAAAGATGGAAAGAGTGGGAAAGAGCGAGAGCCGAGAAAGAATGTGTCGTACAAATCTTTGAAATTGCTCTACCGAGAACTATTTTCAATGCGTCGGAATCAATAAATTTTCCGAGCCATTCGCGGAACGGTTTTGTCTGACAATTTGCCGGAACTTCCTGGATATCGCCCTGGTGCCATGCTCCTCTAGCTTGCCCATTCTGGGCCTTCCAGTTCCCTCCTATACTCCATCTCCATCTACATCCATAGTTTGTGCTGTCGGTAATCGTAATTGCGGGTCTGATAAATAGTAATGCCAGAGTGTGGATGGATTCTGGTGCCTGAAGATGCTTTTTCGGAGCCAAAACGTTTGCCCATTTTTGCCCGTTTGTCTAATGCACGTTTTATGGGGAACTTAGCACGTGTCTACCACTACTAACCACCCCCTCGACCAATCCACCCACCCCTCAACCTTTGACCGGCAAGAAATATTTTATTTGAAAATATTTTTCGGGTTTTTTTCTTTTATTTGTGCTGGATGCTACTTTCATTTTGCTGCAGCAGCAGTGGCGCAGTGACCATAAATTTCAGTGAAAGTCATTAGCAAATAGGCTTAAGAGAGTCATTCAGCGATCTGAATACAAATTCCGTGTGCGGAGTGGGGGGAGCATGTGTCTGTTTGGGTTGAGAACTAAGACTATAGAATCGCAATTTTTTATACGCATTCGAATTCTTTAGAATCGATAATGGGTGTCGCAGGTGTCGTAGTGGAAATGCATAATATGTAATGGCATGTTATTGAAAGAAATAAACAAAAATATATTCGTATAAAAATAGATAAGAAACAACTATAAGGTTTTCTGAAAACGAAATTTTTGGTTAGATAATGTGAGACTGAGGAAGTGCGAGTGGAACTTTCTACGCAAAAAAAGTACCCAGGGCCAAAGATAAGAAAGACAAATAAATTAATAATAATAAAAAGTACAAATTATATTTATAGCTTGAAGTTGTTGAAGCTCTGCTCTGGATTTGATTACATTTTTCGAATATTAGAAAAAAATTACAATTTAATAACCGAATGACTCATTTAATGTGAATTCTGGAACCACAAAAAAGTACCTAAATTTATGCAAAATAAACATTCAATTAAATATTGAATGTACTTTCACATAAAACGTCCAAGGCCAATTTGTTTTCACTATTCGCCTGTGAAAATGTTAATCGCTTTTAGCTGATGCAATTCAAATGTCAATTGCGTTGATCCATTACTTAATTTAGTTGTCTGTCATGTGCACAAAATACGACTCTACGTATAAATTAGATTGAACTGAAATCAGAAACAGCTCAAAACTAGACGAAAGTTCACAGACCAAACAGACACGAGTCATAAGAAATCACTAAATTGTAGAGTATTTATTTAGCGCCCAGCTGTGTTTGGCTGCTGCCAGTAATTGTACACTTCGGAAGCTGGCAAAGACACAGTTATCGGCTAACGGTCTCGGGGCTGCCATTAATTAGCCATAAAATTCAGTTTAGTCAATTAGCCACATTGCAAAGCCTCGATGCTCGCGCTCACAATAATGGCAGCTCTGACAACAGGCTTACCCTGTGTCGTCCAGGTAATTAGCTCGAACCAAAATATAGCCATATATGATGGGCAGCAGGCGGAGGGAGAGCAAGCAGGGGAGCGACACATCTAGAGCTACTTCTGACGTTAGAAATAGAGACGTTTGCAGAACTTCTTTATTTGCCGAACAAAAAAAGAAACCAAACAACTTGTTCAAACAGCGCTGCAAATAAGCAACATAAAATGATATTCTGATCTCCACCATCCAGCGGGTCAATAGAGCGAAACAAGGCAAAAAATTAGTTGAGCAAAAGCACACAATACATCTCAAATTTGTTGATTTTTTAGAGCACTTTGAGTCAGAGATGGGAGTCTGTGGGGGGAGTTTTGTGTGCAAAAGAGCCGAGAAAAATACAAATTTTATGAGTAGTTTCAGTTATGCCACTAACACCCTGTGATTACTAACCTAGGACAGCCAATACTGTATTATATCTGCTCTATCCGACAAAATCCCCACAATTTGCGAACGTTACTTGCCTTAAGTAATTTCCCAATCAATTGTATGAGATTAATTGAAAATTTCGCATGATTATATATAATTATGCCATTTATTATCCCATTTCCAGCATGTGTACGCATCGAACGAGGTGTTCTGAATACACAGCTTCACAGCACTGCAAAATGTGCACCCAAATTTGTAGACAGTTATGTGAGCCATGAAAAACCGAACCAACCCCCGGCATGACTTGATCTGGACACCCCATGATCATGGGGTGGCCGGGTAATAACAACTTGTCGGCTGTTGGCTGTGGCTGGCAAAGAAATGAGCAAAAACCTGTCCCACAGAGGGCGGGTGCAAGGCTATATATAGAGACCCTTGTTGGGGGGTTTGGCTGCTGGACGGATTGGCCACCGATAAACCTCGTTCCGCAAAATATCTCGTAATTACCAGGTTGAATGAGAAATGCCCAATTAGTTGGAATTTTTTGTTGTCACTTTTGCTCGACTTTGTTTCTGTTTTGTCAGTCACTAGGCCTGGGGCCAGGGGCATGGGGTTTTTGGTTGGGGCTTGAGGCGAGTTGATCTCGCGTCGCGTTCGGTGGAAAGTGACGACGATTGTCAACAGTTAGTCAGCGGCAATCACTGGACGCAGCCGAATAGACGAGCGCGGATTTATCTCTCTTTTAAGTTCTCCGTCTCTAGCTGTCAGTGCGTTACTTCAACTCCGGTCGCGCTGTGAACTGCACGCGCCTTGCAGCGCCCCATAAACATTTCAGACAGAAATTAAACAAACAATAAAACACACAAAAATCCTGTATTTTATGTGCCTGTGTGTGCGTGCGCATAACCTGAAATCTGAACCTCCACTTCCGGCTTCGTTTCGAACTTGAGACTTGTATAAAAAGGAATATTCCCTCAAAATGATATTCGGTCGCTGGACTCGTAAGCAAATACTCACCATGTTCGGTCTGGGTGGCGCTGTTTTGGGTGCCATAATTGTGATCGCTGTGCTCAACAGCAATGTGTCTTCCGAGGAGCTGTCCCGACACGATGCAGCCACAGCCAAGTGCTTTAAGACCAGCCCAAATACAACCCACTCAACGCTGGAACTAGTGCACATTGTCTTCAGGCACGGCATTCGCACACCCGTGGATACGTACCCCAACGATCCCTATTTGAAAGATGGCTTCAAGCCAACGGGCTGGGGACATGTCACCAATGTGAGTAGCATCAGCAGGCTGATCATGGGAGGTGGCCACATTGTATACTTACTGATCCAATTAAGACATCTGCTGGTTATCTTATCCGCTTTTATCAGAGTTTAAAGAATTATGGCCTCGTCTCTATTTTAGTCTGGCAAACGAGAGCTGTACGAAATGGGCCGCTGGCTGAATCGTCGCTACAGTGAGTTTATGGGACCCTACTACAGACCCGATGTAAGATTTATGTACTTTTTGGTTGCCAAAATGTAACAGTTTGAATCTCTTAGCGTTTGCATGCACAAGCCACAGCCTCACCGCGCGCCATGATGTCCCTCCAGACGACGCTGGCGAGCATGTTTGAGCCGAAGGGAACTCCAATGGAGTGGAACAAGAAGCTCAACTGGCAGCCCATACCCATTGTATCGGAACCTTTAGATCAAGATTCGGTATGTTCATCTCTAGAGTTGTATAATTCAAGCAGTGTGTAATGTTTCCCTTTGCTGCAGCTCTTGCTGGTTCGGACGCCGTGTCCGCGCTATTTTGAGGCCTGGGAAGAGGTGTTCAAGCGTCCCGAGGTGATTGCAGAAACGAAACCATACGAGCAAATGTTCCGGGAGCTGACCAATCTGACTGGGATGCCGGTGAGGAATGCCGAGGATGTCAACTCCCTGTACATCACACTCCTGGCTGAGAAAGAGTTTGGCTATGAGCTGCCCGCTTGGACCAAAGACTACTTTCCCGATCGCATGCAGTTCCTGGCGGAACAGAGCTACATCTATAATGCCTACACACCGGAGATGCAGAAGATCAAGGGCGGACCCTTCCTCAAGCGCATGTACAAGGAGATGTCTGAGAAGAGGGATGGCAGTCTGAGGCCCAAGGATCGTGGAATGTACATCTATGCTGGTCATGACTGGACTGTGGGCAATATACTATCCGCCCTTGGGGTTTGGAAGCGTCAGATGCCTAGGTTTGCGGTCATGGCCATCTTTGAGACGCACAGAGATAAGCAGACTGGTGAATACTATGTGGAGGTAAGCAATTAAAAGAGACTGTATCTCGCTTATTGTGATTTCCCCTTCGCTTTCACAGATCTTCCTCCGCAACGACGAACACGGCTGTCTGGAGCAGTTACAGCTAAGAGATTGCGATCGTCAGTGCCCCTTGAGTCGCCTCATCGAACTGAGCATCGAGGTGCTGCCCAACGAGCCAATGGAGCAGCGGTGTCGACCCCATAGCCCCGATTTTGTGGAACCGCCGCCGCGTCTGATCGATCAGAATGCGGGACGCTAGCCATAATTGGGTACGGGCAATTTTCGCCCTACGGCTGCTCAGTCGCCATGCTCTCAGTATTATAATGGCAGTCGAATGGGAGTTGTGTATAAACAAATTTTTTTTTTTTTTTTTTTTTTTTTCTCTCTCTTTATATTTACAATCTGTTTTTAAACAATAAGTAAATTGTATAATTAATATTCAATTAACAGAAATAGCAGTTTTCCAATGAGCCCTGCTATTATATATAACATCTTTTCAGTTTGTTGGATTTATCTATCAGGGATATCGAGAATGTGGTATCTTTTCAGTCTTCTTACTGTTAGGCTATTGTCTAATAGACTTAAGGCTAAATTATTTTCGTGGTTGTGGAGTCTGTCGATGTATTTCTTACTAGTTTTCTTTATTTCTTCTTTAATGGTTGGAATATTCAGATCTTTGTGGATGTTTGCATTAGATACGTAAAACGGAGCATTGACAATTTGTCGCAAAGTTTTTGATTGGTAACGCTGAAGTATTTCAATATTTGAGTTGCTAGCAGTTCCCCAAAGCTGTATAGCGTAGGTCCAAACAGGCTTCAGTATGGATTTGTAGAGGCGAATTTTGTTTTCCAAAGTGGTTTCTGATTTTCGACTAATCAGCCAGGACATTTTTAGTGTTTTAAGTCTAAGTTGTTGACATTTTGCTTTAATGTGGTTTTTCCATGTTAATCTGCGGTCGAGATGCAAGCCGAGATACTTCACACAGGTACTTTGTGGAATTGGTGAGCCGTTAAGTGTAACATTTGGGCAGTTACCTGGTCTTAATGAAAACGTTATTTGGACGGATTTCAGGGAGTTTATTCTAATTTTCCATCGAAGGAACCAGTCTTCAATTAGGCTTAGCTCACTCTGCAGGAGTTCAGAAGCTTCATTTATAGATGTGCTTGTGGCTAAAACGGCTGTATCATCAGCATATGTTGCAACAGTGCAGTTGTTTGTAACTGGCATGTCGGCCGTATATAGGGTGTAGAGAATTGGTCCCAATACGCTTCCTTGTGGGACGCCTGAGTTGATGAGAAGTAGTGATGAACTATCGGTTTTCTGCTGCACGTAAAAGCATCTTCTAGCCAGATATGATTTGATTAATAAATAGTACGGAGCAGGTAGCCATTTCTTTATCTTGTACAACAAACCTTTGTGCCAGACTCGATCGAACGCTTGTTGAACATCAAGAAATGCAGCAGTGCAGTATTTTTTGTTTTCAAATGCCGAAACTATATCATTAATAACCCTGTGACATTGCTCAGGGGTCCCGTGACCCCTCCTGAATCCGAATTGGTATTCAGGAATGATGGAAAGTTCGTCTAAAATTGGTAACATTCTCTTCAATAGTATTTTTTCAAACACTTTCGAGAAAATTGTCAACAGACTAATGGGACGGTATGATGTCAATTCCGTTTCTATTTTGTTTGGTTTTAGGATCATAACGATCTCTGCACATTTCCATTGACTTGGAAAGTGGTCTAGTCTGAGAATCGCGTTATATATAAGAGTGAGAAACCGAATGCATTTTGGTGGTAAACTTTTTAGGGTGATACCGTCTATTTTATCAGGGCCTGGTGCTTTTTTATTGTTCAAGCATTTGATTTCTGTCACAACTTCTTCATNACGGAGCAGGTAGCCATTTCTTTATCTTGTACAACAAACCTTTGTGCCAGACTCGATCGAACGCTTGTTGAACATCAAGAAATGCAGCAGTGCAGTATTTTTTGTTTTCAAATGCCGAAACTATATCATTAATAACCCTGTGACATTGCTCAGGGGTCCCGTGACCCCTCCTGAATCCGAATTGGTATTCAGGAATGATGGAAAGTTCGTCTAAAATTGGTAACATTCTCTTCAATAGTATTTTTTCAAACACTTTCGAGAAAATTGTCAACAGACTAATGGGACGGTATGATGTCAATTCCGTTTCTATTTTGTTTGTTTTTAGGATCATAACGATCTCTGCACATTTCCATTGACTTGGAAAGTGGTCTAGTCTGAGAATCGCGTTATATATAAGAGTGAGAAACCGAATGCATTTTGGTGGTAAACTTTTTAGGGTGATACCGTCTATTTTATCAGGGCCAGGTGCTTTTTTATTCTTCAAGCATTTGATTTCTGTCACAACTTCTTCATATTTAATGCTTTTAATAGGCAAGCTCATTTGGCAGGGTGACTCAAGGAATTTTTCTACTTCAGTCTCTGTTGTATAATTATTTATATCGTTTGGCTGAAACACAGAGTGCAGATGTTGTGCAAATGCTTCCGCTTGTTCATTATTAGACCTACACCAAGTTCCGTTGTTTTTGCGAATATTTATGTTTCTTTTAGCTGGTTTCTTTAGGTATTTAGTCGCCCTCCATAGGTTGTATTCATTGTTGCTTGAATTAGGGTCTAAGTTTCTCAGATACGCAGCTAGAGATTCATTGCGTAAGTTCGACAGCAGTTGTCTAAGCTCAGATGCAGCCTTGTTGTATAATCTTTTGTCAGCAGGGTAGTGAGTTTCTTGCCAGCGTTTTCGCAGATTCCTTTTATTTTGTATTTTTTGTCGAAGATCGGTTGAAAGGTTCAATTGGTTTGGTTGTTGATGATTAAGAGCATGATTCGTGTTTCTGTAGCTCGCATTATGAATTGTATTTGTGAAAAGCTCCACAGCATAGTCTATCTCCTCTCCTGTTTTTAACGGAATGTCCAGGCTTATAGCTGAATCTAAATGGCTTTTAAATGCGTTAATGTCTGTAGAGGCTGTTATTACTTTATAGGGCTTTTCCAACATATGGGCTATTGTGCTGTAAGTTGCTATTATTGGAGAATGATCTGAGTTAAGGTCAAAGCTCTCCATTACTCGCATGTGTGATTGTGGGATTCCAGAGAATACTATGAAATCAATCAAATCTGGAATTTTTCGACTATCAGTTGGCCAGTATGTGGGCACACCAGTTGACAAAGTCGTTATGTTATTGTTTCGTATGCATTTGTATAACTCCGATCCCTTCGGGTTAGTTAATCTGGATCCCCACCATGGATGTTTGGCATTGAAGTCGCCTCCCACGATAAACTTTGCTCCCAGTCCTTGGAAAAAGTTTTTGAAATCGAGTTCTTTTATTGTGAATCTTGGTGGGAGATAAATCGCTGTTATTGATACATCTGCGTGCATACATTTTATCTGAATTGTGGCAGCTTGCATAGCGTTTTCCCTAGTACTGTCGTATAAACAAATAAACAAAAAAAAGTAATAAATAATTCAAGTAAATTATATGAAAAACCCCCAAAAAAATATAGAGTCAAAAGTTCATTGTGCGAATTCTTATTTATTTGGTTTTTTTTTGGCAAAATCAGTTTCGTGTGAAGCAAATTAAGTTGAATTTTTTTCTTGCCATTGTAGTGGAATGATTGCGCTGATTGAAGCGCTCGTCTCGCTCTTCGCTGCTGTTATCTTCGGGCGTGTGTGTGTATGGGTGAATACATAATCGCGACTTAAAAGCCGACCGCAGTTCTATTGATGCAGTCACTCAACGCAAAAGCCTCTAAGCAGTCGGTCTACCTCATTCTAACGCTCAATCCCGCACAATCCAGTCCAATCCAATAAACAATGAAGCTGTTGGGCCTTCTGTTCTTTCTCAGCCATTGGCTGATGGCCGTTCGTGGAGCCAGTATATCCGGTGTCGAAGTGCCTGTGGAAGTTCCCGAGGAGGTGATCGAAACATCGAGGAATACAAGCAGCAACTCCACTCTAAAACTCGTGCATGTGGTAAGATTCGAGTTATGTGTGAAAAGTTATACAAAAAAGACAAAAAATAAATAAATAATTGTCAAATTCGTTCTAATTGAGGACTCGTTAAAAAATTCAACAACTAGCCAAGTCAGCAGACCATAAAATTAGACAAAATTGGCTGAACATTAGCAGACATGAAATCATAAAGCGAACGATTAAAATGTTTGGTTAAAGTTGAGTTTGTACTCTTAAGTAAACCGAGCTATCGCATCGGTTTTCCCGCGAGAACAGATGCGCGTGGCGACATGGCGTATACTTAACGTTGTATTAAGCGCGCTGCGGGAGAAACCGGTTTAGCTAAACAATTTTTGAATTTATGGAGCGACTCATTGTATAATTTGTTTTTCCATCATTTGTGGCATAATTTAAATGTATTGTATATTGGAAATGAGTTATGAAAGCAAATATTTATTGCTATTTAAATTATTGTGAAAAATTATCAAGATTTCACACAAATTAAGATAAGTTGATGGACGGAAACTTAAGCTATATTTATTGTTTATATTTTATAAATCATATTTTAATGGATTTTCCCAACCTTTGTTCTGTTTAGCTATTTCGGCATGGTCCTCGCACTCCAGTCAGCACCTATCCAAAAGATCCCTACATCAACGAAACATTCGAACCCTATGGCTGGGGACATTTAACCAATGTGAGTACCAAACCATTACAAAAAGTTAAATATTAATAATAACAAATATATTTTCTTCTGCAAAAGCCTGCCAAGGTGGAGCTCTATAAAATAGGAAAACAACTGCGTGGCCGCTATACAGACTTTCTGGCGCCCTACTATCAGCCCGATGTAAGTTGAATAACCTGATGAAAATCAGTCTATTATTAAAATGAAATCATTGCAGATGATCCACGCTCAATCATCGGCATCGCCACGTACCATGATGTCATTGCAAATGGTGCTGGGTGGACTCTTTCCACCGGAAAACACGCCCATGGAGTGGAATCTGATGCTCAACTGGCAACCCATACCAATCCAGGTAGAGCCTGAGGAAACGGATGTTGTAAGTTGAAATGCAAACAACATAATACAGATAACAGTAATTTAAATGTTTTATTGTTTTTACAGCGTCTAAGAATGAAGGTTCCGTGTCCGCGCTACGACGAGGCCGTACAGGAGGTGATGAACAGCCCCGAGGTGAAAGAGTTTCATGCCCAAAACTCAGAGTTGCTGCAGGAATTGACCGAGAAGACGGGACTGAATGTCACCTATGCCCATGATGTGACCAACGTGTTCATTACGCTACTCGCGGAGCAGGGTTACGGACTGGAACTGCCTCAATGGACCAAGGAGTACTTTC